TGCATAGTCCAGTTGGACTGTGGCTATGTCGGGTGAGCTAAGTGCATTTTCCCCTGGTCGCAGAGTCACAGAAACAGAGTCTGAGATTAGAAGAAACTTAAATTGGAGGGAAGGGGCCTGCATTTTTTTGAGGAGCAGATCCTTAGGAGCCCCTATCACCCTGAAGGTTCTGTTGGGGAAGCTGGAAAGCCCACAATAATCTGTGTGTATTATGGGGGGAGGTAGTTGGTCGGGTACTCTTTAGCCCCAAGTTCATGTCCAGTTTGGAATCCCCAGAGAAATGATATTTTTGGAGAGTCCAAGGAAAAATCTCTCTGGCTCTTTCCATGTGTCTGGGAAACCTCCATAAGTGGCTTGAGACATCAAAGGGGAAGATCTGAACTACTTCTGGAAGAGCTTTTGGCCTCATGGGCAATCTGGGGGTTTCTAGCCTTGAGTGGGGAGGAATGTGGTCCCTCTGCAGACACCACAAGGCTTGGGCTACCCTCCAAAAGGGTCATTGTCCATAACCGTCTGCTGGGGGAGAAAACCCTCTGGTTAGCAGTTTGTGGCTGCACATGCCACTTGGCTGGGACAAGGTCTTCATACAACAGTACAAATCTTCTCCAGACTGGGGACACTGATGCCCGCATATGGCGCTTGTCTTCCAGAGTGGGTCATTAGTGTACAGAGTCAGAGTTGCTCTGCTTTTCTCTCTGTGTTGCCCAGCAAGGGGTTAGCACTCCTCACGTTCCACACGGGCATTATGCAGCAGTCACATGGGGCCAGGAGAAATGAAGGAGGAATACCAAAAGACAGACAGAAGTGGGAGACCCTCACGTGTGCCCCAGGGAAAGGGGCTTGGATGGTAGTCTGGCATCCCCCTGTCCTATCCCAAGGCACCTGCTCCAAGTGATGACACCCAGATTACCAGGCTCCAGCTCACCCCCACGTTGCTGCAGCCTGTTGCCTTGCTATGCTAGTGAGATGAGAACAGAGTGGGCTGAGAGAAAACTGTGGGGTCTGGTGTCATCTGAGAGAGAACCTGAAGGTATGGAAGATGAGGGACCCGGGGGAAGCAAATCAGGCCTGGATGGCCTACCCTGATTTCCTATAGCCAACGCACAGCATAGCCCCGTGGGCAGCGGGCACCTTCCAGACTGTCGCCCCTGGACAGAGAAACCTTACAACCTTTCTTGGCCTGGAAGAGTCACATATATCCCTCACATTGCTGTTGGGTCTTGCTGGGGTTGGCAACTGAGGAAAGGAGAAAGAAAGGATATAAAAGCCAACATCAAATCCAAAGGACTGAAGGGAAGAACCCTGAGAATGACACTCGATTAGTCACTTTCTGGCCACCATCCCTCCCGGACCTCTCTGTCCCCGTTGGCCCCTGGGCTGTAGAGAAGCAGGCACCCTGGCTCATTCTCAGGGAGCCTCAGGCCTCAGACAAAGAGCCACAGTGTTTTGGAGAAGCAGACGCAACTGCCCACTGCCTGGGCACGCTGGCTGGTCCCGGGCTCTGGCCAGGAGAGAAGACGGAGAGAGCGGCCCACTGCCAGCAGTGCATTTTTCCAGGCACAGCTCTGGGCTGCTGCAGGACTAAGGTGGCTGTCTGGAGGGCTGGCACAGTTAGCCTCTGTCTCCATTCCTCTTTCCAGACTGGGCACCTTGGCAGACGAGACTCAGCTTTCCAGGGGCTGTGCACCCTGCCTGCTTTGGCCTCTCCTTAGAACCGCGGCTGCTGAAAGGGTTTGGTGGGGAGCCTATGGCTGTCCTTACCCCACTCCATCTCTTGGCAATGTCGCTTTAGGCTTGTATACTCTAAACTGTTTCCCATCATGCTAGAGACCGTCCTGTGCTGAGAGTTTTGTAAGG